CAGTACTTTCTACAATTTTTATGTGCCAGACCACAGATTTAGCCTTCTAAATTAGGAATAAGTTAGCAAGAACTCATACAAAATTGTGAAGCACTACCTTGAGTTATAAAAATCTTAAAATAAAGTGAATAGCCCCCAGTGGATGAGACAGTGATCACCAATCCTGAGTCAGGTTTAATCAAAGAAATGCTTCATTGTTGGTATTTGATAAACAGTATCATTATCTAATTTCATCCTGTGAAAACCTGCATAAGGTAAATCTCATAATTTTGAAGTTTGGAGAGCATATATAACTGGTCTTAGACATTTAAGGGTAATTACAAACTACACCTTAACTCTGGGCTCCCCCGACTGAAGTTTATATTCCTTTTACCACCCTACTGTTCAATTCATACTCTATTCGTTAGACAATAAGGAGCCTCTCCATCCCTGCATATTCTCCCTATATGACCTAGTGCTTACTTTGTCATAATCACACATTAGCACGAAACCAGAATTCCTTTGAAATAGGCAGGTAAATCCGACAAAATGTGCACAGTATGTCTACAGGTGGAGCATGTGTCTCCATTGTCCAGACCAGGCTTCTGAACACAGCATCCTCGTGTTCGAGCAGACCCAACTCAAAGCCAATGCACTGTTAGATAGTTCCCGTGTAGTAGGTAGAATAATGGTTACAACCTCCACCCCTGCCAGAAGATGTTGGCCTTTGAACCCCTTCAGCTTGAAGTTGCATGTATATGGTAAGAGGGACTTAGGCAGCTGACATTAAATTAAGGATTTTGAGATGAGGAGATTAACCCTTGGTTATCTGGGTGAGCTTCATGTCACCACCAGATCTACAAGAGTGAAGCAGGAATAGCAAAAGTCAGATTTGATCCTTCCATACTATTGACTTTGAAGATGGAGGATGGAGCCACAGGCCAAGGAAAGCAGTAAGCCTTTAGAAGGTGGAAGGGGTAAAAGGAAATGAATTCTTTCTCAGACCTTTCGGAAGCAGCATAGCACTGCCAAAAAACTTGACTTTTTTTTAGTTCAGTGACACTTCTGACTCTCAGGACAGTAGAACTATAAATTCATGATAAAGAACTACATTTTTACAGCAAGAAGAAGCTAATATCATTTCCAAAAAGTGACATGAGTTGAAAAGAAATGTACTCATTACCTGGCTTATGTAACTATAACCTCTCTCTAAATCACCTTTACAAAAACAATTAAAAATATTTATTTAAAGTGTCCTATTCATCGAATAGACAGAGTCTGTACCAGATCAGGGCTGTGACCTTGTGAAACCAGGAAATCAGTGGGTTGCAAAGCATCTCTGTCAATCTTTTCCTGAGTCTCTTTTAGGAGTCTCTGGGGCCCAGGAAAGCTCTTTTCCTGTTCTTTTCATGAACTGCTATAGGTTAACTGATCTGGATTCAATAATGTTGCCAGGTAATAAAGAACAGGAATATATTATAACCACGGTTTCAAAAGTCATAAAAATTAGAGATGGCAAGAACAGTGCACAATTAGGATATTCTAATTTAGAATCAGGACATTTGCTTCCCAGGATGAGGGGCTTTCTACCCAGTCAGCACTAAGACAGAAAGGCTGCTTGCTGTGGATTGTTGGAGGGAGCAGGGATGGATTTTTTTCCAAGGGTGTTAAAGTGAGTAAGAGCAAATAATCAATGCTGGGCCGAAGAGGCTTGTTAGTTATTTAGTTTGCCTGGGTAAGCAACATCTGTGGAAAAAGTAGCCCTCACCTCTCAACTTAAAGATACTTATAGCCGGATCAGAAGGTGGTATAAAGACATGATAATTAAGTGAAAGAATAAACTATAACTGCAGGCTGTAGTGAAATCAAATGAGGTCTCAGAGGTCACTGATTTGATCCCTGCACGGATGCCTGAGGCATCTTCACATTATCTTTTCATCTTCACCCCTTGGTCCTAGTGCCACTGGCTTGCAGACACATACAGTCATTCGAAACTGGGGCTTAACCCTGCAAAGCTTTGAGGCACTGGATAGTAAGTATGGGACCCACCATCAGTGTTTGGTGACTTCAGGCGATTCCCAAGTGCAGCCTTTGTGAATGCTCTTTTTCTAGAGTTGAGGATGGTTCAAATGAATTGAATCATCTTTTTTTGTTTTTGTTTTTTAGGTGTGACTTTTATCCGCTTAGACAATCCAAAGCATCCTTGCCAATGTGGGTCCCTGTTTATAGACATTTATATGGTACCTGTTTAGAGACATTTATCTACCAATAGATAAACTTGGCTTCATCAAAATAAAAATCTTTTGTGTTTCAATGGACATTAACAAGGAAGTAAGGCAACCAGAGAGGGGGAAAAATATTTACAAGTCATACATCAAGAGTGATAGATCCATAATATGTAAAGAGTTATTAGAACTCAATAGTAAATAATTCCGTTAAAAATGTGAAAGGAACTGCAACATTTTTTCCCAAAGAAGATACATAAAAGTATAATCAACTTCTAATATCTCTCTCACAAAGCTATCTAAAAATCAGTGTTCTGAGCTATCCATTTGGCTGCTTTGTTGGCATGCCTGGACCTGCCTTCCTCCAGCTCTGGCCCTCCATCTGTGGATCCCATGGCCCATTTCAGGGACAGGCAAACAAGAAAACTGAGGAAAACCCTTGGATTTTCCAAACAGTGACTATTTGACAGAAAAGTTAAGAACTGGCTGTGTGAGTATCTTAGAAGTTGTATAAGGCAACGGGAACTTTTTAAAGTTTTCTCTTTTGGATTTAAAGTAAGTATTTTGCTTATTTCTTTGCTTATGTGAAGCACTCTTATTCACAAAGCAATTAGGAAACAATACAGAGGATATTTATTCAAGAGCTAAGCCATGTAGTGCCAATGTAAATACATCAGCAGTGACAGGAAAGGAGAACAGAACGTTCTGTTGACTCCTAACTTTGGTTGCTATATTAAGTACACACAAGGGATTCTAAACTGATTTTAAATAAGATTCTTGTTATTTTTTGGAAGTTTTTTTTTGTTTCAAATTAGAAATACACAACAAATTACATGGGATGTTTAAGTAAAAAATATAGTGAAACAAGAGATAAGAGCAAACATTTAGTGTAAGCTAATACCCCCATGACAATAAAAAGATGACATCATTCAGATGCCATCTCTAGAGTTTAATCAGAGACTATTAAAAGTCAATAGTTGCTGGGTGTCGGTGGCTCACGCCTGTAAATCCTAGCTACTCAGGAGGCTGAGAGTTGAGGATCATGGTTCAAAGCCAGCCAGGGCAGGAAAGTCCACGAGACTCTTATCTCCAATAAACCACTAGAAAACCAGAAGTGGCGCTGTGACTCAAGTGGTAGAGCGCTCGCCTTGAGCTGAAGAGTGCAGGAACAGCACCCAAGCCCAGAGTTCAAGCCCCATGACCGACAAAAAACAGACAAACAAACAAACAAAAAACACCACCACCACCACCAAAAAACCTCAATAGTTTTCAATACTTAGCAACAGGTGGGCACATTTTGATTGACAGGACGCCACTGATATCTGATGTGATGAAGTAACACCTAATGCTAAGCATCCTATAACACATGGTCCAAAGTGGTAGTAATAGTACAATGGTAGAGAAATTCTGGGTTAAACAGAGCATAACCATTCCATAGAATACTATACAACCATTAGTGATCAGTGATTCTCAACTTTGACTTCATATTACAATACAAAATGAGTCATATGCATAGCTTTTCAAAGGTCCCACTCGTAATTAATCAGGATCAGACTCTCTGGGACAGTATCTAGACATAACTATGTTTCATGTTCTTTCTAGGTGACTGTGATGTATGACTAGACAGGAGAAGCACTAACTTGAATTACTATTATACAGAGATATTGAATGACATGGAAAACATATATATTAAGTTAAAATACAATGTAACAAAACTGTACACAATGTTATTAAGTTTTTATTAAAAGTAATGAACACTGGATGCTGGTGGATTATGCCTGTAATGCCGTAATCCTAGCTAATCAGGAGGCTGAGATCTGAGAATTGTGGTTCAAAACCAGCCCAGGCAGGAAAGTCCATGAGACTCTTATCTCCAGTTAGCCCAGAAAACTGGAAGTGAAGCTATAACTCAAAACTGAGCAACTGAGCTCAGAGACAGTGCCAGGCCCTAAGTTCAAGACTCATGACTGACCAAAAAAAAAAGTTATGAACTATATAATGTATATGTCCTTAAAAATATAGATACATAAAATGGTGCCAATGTGCAAGAGTATTTGTCTATATTTTATGACATTCTCATGGTGACTTTGTGTTTCTTTGTAATAAGTCTCATGTGGCTATTTCTTCTAAAACTAAACATACTAGGACTATATTACCCAGCAATCTTGTGGTGGTCAAATGTTTCAGAGGTTGACTGTATCAATATATCCTAACATTGGACAAGGTTTTACAAGACACTGCCAATAAGAGCTACTAGATAAATTGTAAACAGGACTTATCTATATTATTTCTTAAGAATGCATGAAAATTTACAATTACATTAAAATTAAAATTTTTTTACTCAGATAGGTTTTTTTTAATTGTTTTGATTTTCCTGAATCTTTAACTTAAAAGATTAGTCAATCAGATTCCTGTATAATATGATTATAATCATTTTATATATCATATGATTATAACTAGATTATAATCAGATAAGTCAGGTTCTAGAGTTTAATTTTTAAAAAGCCAATAGGAACTAATTGTAGCAACAAACAAAAGCACTTGCTGTGTTGGAACAAAACCCAAGAAAATTTATCTTTCCAATTGCAACAGAATATGTATGTAGCAAAAAAAAAAAACCCAAACAAAACAAAACCCATTCTGCCTTATGAAACCAAAATATTGGCAACAGTTCTAACTGCCTATGTATAAGAATTCAGTTTTCAGTTATCAGAGCTTCTGTGGGCAAAATCAGGGCATCCTAACCCTGGGAACATTCCCATTTATTGCTCACAAAGTGACACTGACTCAACTTACCTTGTAGTGGAAGAGAAACAGTCCACAGAACAGGCTGTACAGGTCTGCTGTGAGCAGAGAGAGATTGACGGAGGTGGCGCTGGTTTTCTTTATGACGATGGGCATAAAGCTATATAGACCAAACATGCAGGCACTAAAGCCAACGTAGAGCAGTCCTAGGAGGAAAGAGAAAGCAACATCAAGGCCTACTTCAAGCAGATCCAGCCACCACAGGACAAGGACAAAGGGGAATGGACACACCATCTATGATTTACACAAGATAGTTTTACTTTTGCCTTATTTATCATAGTTATCATTAACCAATCCACAGCTAAAATAAAATGAATAGTCAACATACCTTTTTCTATGTGTGGAAAATGCACTTTGCACTGCTCAGTATACCCCTGACATTCTGATTCTTCCAGGAAGAAGAGTCTTAGCTAATGGTGATATCCAGAAGCTTGTGAATTCTATTCCCATCTGTACTGTAACTAACTTTTGTTGTCCATGTGTTTAGGAAATTGTACCCATTTTTAATTTGCAAAATAAAGACAAAACCTCTCGGTATTATGTATGGTTCACAACAATGAACAATTACATAGTTTTTGAAATGGATGAGATGATATGTCCAGAGAGATCTGGAGTTAGAAGACTGCAAGAGAGCCTGGCGCTGGTGGCTCTGGCCTGTAATCTTAGCTAATCAGGAGGCTGAGATCTGAAGATTGTAATTTGAAACCAACCAGGACAAAAATGTCCATGAGATTCTTACCTCCAATTAATCACAGGAAAACCCTGAAGTGGAGCTGTGGCTCAAGTGGTAGAGTGCTAGCCTTGAGCAAAAGGAGCACTGGGACAGTGCCCAGGCTGAGTTTGAGTCCCAAGACCAGGGGAAAAAAAAAGATTGCAGAGGATGGTGGTGTCTTTGGCAGATCATCCCTCTAAACCCAGAAAGTCTTGTCAATTTTTTTCAAACGTTTGGGATTCTGTTCAGTTGTGCCTCCCAAATAGGGAGCCTTACCCTCACCTCAGCTTTTCTATGGATTCTCATAGGTTGAGAGATACTTTGAAAATATATCCTCAAACCCCCCCTCTCTTCCTCTCTCTCAAAACCTACACAATAGTTAATACTCATGCAGTTTTACATAGTCCCAAGCAGGAGTTCACTGCTCATTCTAGGTTCTATCTTTACAGATGATGATACAATGCAAATTCAGAAAAGAAATGCTTCATTTCTTTACCTAGAAAGATGATAATGCATAATTCAGAGAATTATTTTTTTGGAATTACAGTGCAATAAAAACAACCTTTCCAAAGGACTCTTCGATTCAATGTGCCTAGTGTGGGCTGTGGATGATTGATCTGAATCCTGCGAATGTGGGAGGAATTTGGTAGGGGCTGGGTATTCAGCCTCTGTATAAAAATGAGCGATTTTTTCCAGAAAAAAAATTCGGCATGTCTCCATGCAAAGTATTTAAGGGCACAGGTCCTTGTTCTATATAAGTTTTGGTTCCAAGTTTAAGAAAAGACACATCAGACATCTGTAAAAATTCTTTTGATCATTAAATGAACAAACAGTGCAATAGCCCCCTCTAGCGTGGCGGACCTGCCCTCCATGCTAAGAGGAGAGGGATTCCCCCATTTCCTATTTCAGTAAAGGAGGAGACCTTGTGTGTATGTTTTGTCACCACTATCAGGTGATTCTGATTCTCCATCAGAAGTTGTAATTTCCTAAAAGTAGTCAATTTCCCCTGAAGTTGAATTTCGTCCTACTTATAATTCATTTTCCTTTTAATCAAGTTACTAAAAATGCCATAAATACTAGATAATATATGACTAATACATGAAAGATATAAAAATTAATTCAATGTTCCTTAAAGAAATCTGTGGTTAATAGATTAGGAACAAGATTCGTAATTAAATTAATTCACTAAAATGATCAAATTTGGATATAATCAGGACAGCTTGCCCTCCCTCCCCTCCTACCTTGCTTCTGTCTTCTTTTTTAAAAGCCTCATTGATTTGGATCATACCATGACTGGGTTAGAAACTTCCAGAATCCTACCTCTCTACCATATTCATGTTATTTGGAATACCACACATGGCTCTGATGTTTTATATTTACTCCCTTATTCATCCATTATTCTGAGTTCTACCATGCACTTGGCCCTGCGCCATGCACTAGGAATACAATGAAATGCAGGAGAGATGAGGAACTTGGAGTTGCTGTTGGTAAGGGTTCTTACAGAGAGTGGCAGGAGGCTTGCTTGCTTTAGTAAAATGGACACTTATGGCTGCTTTGTGGAGACTGTATTTACCTTGAGTAGGAAAGACTAACAGGATATTGGAGGAGGTAGGGAATGAGTATTTTAGGCAAAAGATCAGCACATGAAAAAATTCTGAGAATGATGTGACATATTCTAGGACCTTCAAGGCTCAGAATGATCAAAGGGTCACTAGCCAGAAGTAAAGTAGAAAAATCAGGAAGGAGGTAGGTTATAGTCAGCCCTTGTGCTCTGGAAGAAATTTGTATCGTATCTAGTCACAATAGGAAGCTGTTGAGTAGTTTATAGCAAATGTCTGATAAAATCAAATCTCCTTTAAATTTTTTTTATTTCTTGAGATCCTATGGTCTTGTTATGTAGCCCAGACAACTCTCCTCGTCCCCAATACCTGTGACAGGATAAACATTTGACATTGGCTACTCTGTGAGGGAAGGGTGGGAGGAGATGAGTGAGAAATGAGCATCCTCATTTGGGCAAGAGGCTAATGGCTCACTGGTGCTTGCTTGGAAGGGCAAGGGAGAAGAAAGGAGGTGGGTCTCTGAAGACTCAGCAAGCCCTGAGGACGGGCTGGAGGTGGGCAGTGAAAGAAAGAGAGGGCATTAAGGTTGCCATGGTTATGGCTAACATGAAAACTGAAGGAAGCACGATGCCATTTATGAAGATAAAGAGAACTTGGTGTTCATAGGGACGTAAAAGTTCTGTGTTAGTTTCAAATGCACAAGTGCATGCATGAGAATCTGTCCATTAAGGAGCTGGATATGCCATGGGTGGGCTTAGAGAAGAGGTGTGGCTTTACAAACACACTTGGAGAGGCAAGGAGAACAGGAAAGCAGGTATACAGCAGACTTATCCCACAGGTCAGGCGAACTCAGAATACCTGCAGCTTAAACATTCTAAACGTACTTGATAGAACAGTAAACATAACATACAGGGAGAAAGTGAAACACATATACCATAATGGCTGATCGATAGATTATCTAGCATTTTGATGTCTTGTAGGTAAAATACAACCACACGATTAAATGAACAGTCAGAAGGCAGGACTGCCTCACTTTGCTGATTAGCTTTTCTTGGATGGCCACTGGTAGATGATGGATGTTAGTAATGCATCTGAAGACCCAACTTGTCCACGTTGGGTTTTCCATTGGTCAAACAATTGAATCTCTTTTTGGCTGGCAACTAAATAATGGCTGCTATAATTATTTATAGATATAGTTATGTATATAACCATTTCTCATGTAAACTGCTTGCTGTCTCACTAAGAATACAATTTGATCACTCGTGTCCTGGTGTACTGAAGAGATTGAAAATGATACTACCCACTGAAACAGACTGAGCACTTTCTATAAGACATGCACTGTATATACACTCATATCCTCTACAGTACACGGGGGCCGGCATTACGTATACTGTATGTTATTACTATGATTATCCTTTAAATTATCTGCCTAAACAGATGTGGAGATAGGCTTGGAGACAAGAAACACAGTATATACCATATGAATAGGGTATATGAATATGGTACTGACTGTATCAAGAAACACCGTCCACACCATATTCAACAGAGAAGCCTGAATGCAGCATAAGCTATGAGGGTATTTGAGTGGGTGGTAAGGGATCAGGGATGATGAGGCAAGCAGAGATTGGCACAGCAGGAGAAGTCACTCACGCCTCAAGAGCTAGAGAAATGTAGGCAAGAGGCCATGTTACCAGCTGTCAGCAGATAGAGATACCCTGCAGAGGTAGAATCACACCAGATACAGCCATTGGCAGAGACCCTGCCCCCTGACAGTGGAAAACAGGGAGGAGTAGGGCTTTAAGGAAGTGTCCTAACTTTATCTCATTATGTATGAGCTGTATTATGATACATGGATATAGCACGTATTTGTACATTTGTGTATGCTGCATGTATTTTACTTCATTTCTTTGGGATCCAATGGTGTTCCTCCTCCCCTCTCTGGCATGGTTAAAGTGATGGCTTAGAAACAGACCTGTCTAAGAGACTGCATGGGGTGGAGTAGTGTTGTAAAATGAGGAGGGAGAGAAAAACTCATGACAGAGCATAGGAAATCTTGGATTCTATTTTCTTGGGTTACTCTTAAGTGACTTTCCAGGAGTTTGAAGGTGAGAGAGTCTGACCTCCAATGATGTCTCCATGACTTTTTTTTTTTTTCCACCAATCCTGAGGCTTGAACTCAGGGCTCAAGCGCTGTTCCTGAGCCTCTTAATGCTCAAGGTTTGTGCTTTATGAGCCACAGCTCCACTTCTGGCTTTTTTTCTGAGGAGTTTATTGGAAATAAGAGTCTCACAGACGTTCCTGCCCAGGCTGACTTTGAACTGTGATCCTCAGATCTCAGCCTCCTGAGTAGTTAGGAATCCAGGCGTGAGCCACTGGTGCCTGGCTCTCCGTGCCTTTTTGGCCTACGAATTTCAGTGGCTTCACTGCCATCTCCTACTTTCCCAGAGGAGAGCACAATGGCCACCCACAGCCTCCTGCTGTTCATTCTACCCACTTCTCTCTGGCCAGTATTTTTCTTTTTTAAAGAGTGAAGGCAGCACATACCCACTTCTTCACTATGATTTGTTCACTTCTCATTTACTAAACACAGATTCCTCAAATGCCACATGCCTAGCACTGAGCTAAACACCTAGATCATCTCATTGGTCAAGGGAGAGTTAAAGAGACCAAAGGTGGCCCTGATACAAAATCCTCAAACCCAGCTCGACAAGTGTTTCAGAAAGAAACTGACGGATATGTGATTCTCCTTCTAGGCCATTTTTGCTTCATTTCCCATCAGGAATTAAATAGATGGCTCTGTAATGTGTCCCTTTTACACTGTCTTCATCATCTTGAACTACAGGGAACTGACGTTTTAATGGCAATGCGGGAGCTCAGGATAGAACTGTCTTTTGATGACACATTTAACTAACACTGGATTTTAACGGAATATCAGTGCATGTGCCCAGGACATCCATATAATTAGAGGACAAGTTCTTTTTGATTGCTGCCATTACCATCAACATCAAATTACTTTACACTCACAGACCACTGTGTATGAAGTACCAAAAGGCAGTATTTGTAAATAATAGTTGCAAGTCTTGGCTTTGAGAGTCCCAGAAGAACACCCTGCACCCTGAAGCTGGTCTCCCTCCCTCCCCTCTTCTCCCTTTCCTTCCCTTCATCCCCTTTCCCCCATCACCCCTTCTTTGTCTCCTTTCTATTGACTTTTATTTGGTTATAACATTCTGTACCCACACTTGAGAAATACCAAATAGAGGGCTCTGAGACAGACACAAGGGCTGGTGAGCCCTTGACATCACTGAGAGTCCTTTCCATAGCCCAGGGGGCTGTGGAGGGAGTCATGTCAGTAATCAGTGGCTTGCTCGGAGGCTGGTAGGAAGCAACATGGATAAAGGCAAGCTTATGTCACTGTTGGTTTCCTTCGTAGACAGAATGTGATAAGCTGTTGGTTGCATCACAGCTAGGTAATTTGGAAAAAAGCAGCCAGCTTCGGCAGCCAGGCACCTATATTTTCCCCTTCCATTTGAATTCATTCAGGACACACTTGGCAAGCATCTCTTTGGTTGGCTTAAGCCCAGCTCTGTGCTCACTGCCCACGTGCCTCTGGATGGACCGCCGGAGGGAGCTAAGTGGCTGTGTAATCTATCATTAGAGCAACACCTAGACTCTCAAATCCTCGTCCTATTTTTTTTGTCCCCAGAGGAAAGTGGTTTAGAATCTAAGACACCCTGGATGACTATTAAGTAACACAAAACAGCCTGGCATTTTCTAAATGCACTTGGAAATCAGTTAGCCGTTTCTTTTTGTACAAATCACTCTCTTCATTCTCTTCTCTAAAGCTGTTGATAGGTTCAGAATGCCCATTACATTGTTTCCTTTCCTGCCTTTGTTGTTGTTGTTGTTGTTAAATTCAGTTTTTTCCCCTTTACTAAAATGCCCCTTTTTAAAGATCACGCTCGTTTTGTATTTCCTGGCTGGAGCAACTTGCTGTCATTTCTGTGCCACCGCTACCTTGGGGTATTTTTATTCCTGGTTGGTCTTTAACCTAGCAACACACTTTGGTGCCTAACCTAATGGCACCTTGACAATGATAACACAGAGAAGCTCAAGGGAGAAACAAGTCACAAGAAGGCTCCTCACAGTGCTCAGGAATTCTTCCCCTGGCAAGGAGATTTCATCATCTTTTCTCCCCTGCCATTCTGAATCTTTACCTGACCCTGACTCACATCACTTTAAAAAAAAAAAAAAAGACTTTGTCATTTTTATTTTTCAATCTTATCTTAAAATAGTTGTACAGAGGGGTTGCAATTCAATATGTCAGTCTGTGGGTACAGTTTGTCTTGATCAATGGTACCCCTTCTTCCACTGTTCATATTACTTTAACAAACATTTCTCTAGTTTATTGAAGACTGCATCTTAGGCAAGCAAAGCCCTTACCTATTTGCCAATCCCAGGGCACCTTTAACAGCTCCTTGTGCTCCATAATGGCCCTGTGAATTCAAACAAAGTGGAGCCCATGAGTAAGAGAAGAATGAGCACTACTTGCTTTTTTTAACCTGATTTTTTTTTTTTTACTTTTTAAATTTCACACATGGTTTGTATTATATTTGCATTAAACAGAATTTTTCATGAGTAAGTCTTAAGTTACCACACAACAACAAAAAAAAGCATATGCTACCTACTTACCATATTTATACGATCGTTAAAACAACCAATTCAATTTAAAATATAACTGTGGAGCCACACAAGAGGAAGCCTACATGCTGGTTATCCCTGGAAAATCTTGCTGGGTGTGTGGCTGGCAGTAGTGAGCCTCTGCTAGTGGGCTTGGAGAAGTGCTAATCTCCACTGTCCTTCTTGTCCAAACAGCTAGCACATATACTCTCTCTCCGTCAGTTGCTTTCTAAGAAGCAAAAAGGCTCAGAACGTTTCAGTGCTCACGGCATTCGTTAATTTTCTGAGTGAGCAATTTTGTGATTGAGGTTTCTCTATAGCAGTGGTGCTCCAAGTTTTAAAGGTCATCTGAAAACATCATCTTCTGGGTCTTATTCCCAGAGATTCTTTCTCAGAAGATCTGGTTTAGTTCCTGGATGTGCAACTCTGATAGGTTCTCTGGTGATGACATTACTCCTGGCCTAAGGACTTGACTTTGAAGACCAAGGCTCAGTGAACACTGGTAGACCAATGAACTTTCAGAGAACACTGGAAGACTAGGAGTCAGGCAGGCACCTCTCTACCAACATTGTTTTGGCCCCAGTGTTCCCTTGATGTGCCTTATTTGCCATATAAACCTTTATTCCAGCAGCAGTGTCCTCCAAAGAGCTCAGTTACCAATAACAGACCATCACAGACACAAATGAGCACAAGAAACTCTCAATATGTATATGTGATTAGTCTTTCTTTCAAGAAAAGAGCAAACTTATAAAAGGGAAATTACAAGGTGTAAGTTTCTTAGGAGTTGTCACTAGTAAACAGAATGTGCCTTTTTCAGTGTACCTCAAGTTATAATATTTTTTTTACTTCTCCTAATAATAATAACCCATTTACTAGTTTAGGAGAATAGATACATTTCTAACATTTTCTCGCAAATTATCTTCAAGGTCCATTAACTGTCTTATGATAATTTGTTATAAACATGTTTAGTGTGGAAGAGATTTACTTAATTTTTTATGAAATTTGCACATTTTATAAGACTGCTGTGTGGGAGGTTGGTGATTGCTTTTCTGCCTTAATTTCTATTCTCCAAGGACAAAAAAAAATTATGACAATAACATCCATTTATCCCATTCTTTGAAAATATTGTTATTTTATTTTTACTTACAATTGAATTCCACTGAAAAATGCACCAAAGAGACCAATCATTCCTAGGAACTCCACTCGGCTCAGGGTCCGGATGATGTATTCTTCCCAGACGTTAGAGATGCCATACAGTGTGGCTCCTCCCAGAACCAGAAGGTCTCCTACCAGCTTATTTTCTCCTAGGACCCAAAGGAAACAGGAAGTTTCATTGAAATTTTCTTAACAAGAATTGAACACCAGCAAATTGAGCTTCCTTCTATTTTATTCTGACATCTTTATAAGAAGTCATGTGACTTCCAATTGAAATTGCCTGAAGGTGGTATTATTGTTATTGTTATTATTATTAAATTCTCTAGATGTGTTCTGATATATGAGGTTACCTATGTTGACACAATTAGAAGTTTGAGGGACTAATTCCTTTCACATCAATTCTGCCTTTTGAAAAGTTGGGTGTTATCGATGTATGCACATGTTATTTTTGTATTGAGGTATTTATCCAGCTATTGAGTGAACATTCTACAGGACATGAAGAATCAATTTCCTCCCTCTAGTACAGACACAGAACGTCTAACAGAGCAGTCAATACTATGTTCTTCTCACAGTCACAATGTGATAGTGGGAAAACAGCAAGGGAAGGGGTAACAATGCTCGTCAAGAAATGTCCTCATTGCCTCACTCACATAACTGTCACCCCCTGTACAGCCTCGGTACAATAAAGTAAAATTTAAAAAATGTGTGACAGGTTCAGACAATGAGACTAAAGGAATTTCTAAGTTGAAAATTTCAACTTCAAAGAATGAAAATATATGTAAGCCATTAGTATTTTTTTTTTTTTATAAAAGTGGCTTTAAATTCAGTTTTGGTTGTTTTGGCTTCTTACTCTTAATAAATGATTTAGCCAGTATTTCTGGTAATCAGGCAAAACTTCCCATTCCAGGAAGTTTGCAGCCAGGCCGAGATTGAAAATAAGCCTTACTGGTGGCTTTGTTATCCACGTAATCTCATAAATTCTGTGCTCACTTTGAATAAGGAGTTGAGTGGCCCTGAAGACATGCAGCTCTGGAGAGGAAATGGTGCTCACTTCACCAAGAGTCTGGCACAAATACAACTGTAGAATTAGAATTTCATTGTCCACTGGGAGCCATGAGCACATTCTAGGTGGTGGGTTTGCGTGTAAGAATCGCTACAGGGCTTGGAAGGACCTCTGCACACGACTATCTTGGAAGATCTACTCTATCACCATTTTTTGGAAGGCAACTTCCCACATCTGGTAATGATTTGGAGGGGGCGACGGGGGTTAGGGGAGTCGGGGTTGGGGGAGGAGGGGTTAGGGGAGTCGGGGTTGGGGGAGTGGGGGTTGGGGGAAAAGGGGGAAGAAGAGACTCTGAAAGACACAATTCTTTGTGTCACTCTCAAGGGGATGGAGCAGAGAATGAGATTCTGGGTGGGCTCAGAACTTTCCATGCATTCCTCAGGAGTAACTATCACTATCTAGCAGATGAGCTGAGAAGTTGATGAGGTCCCAGTGAAAAACAACAAAAACTTCTAGGGAAATTAAAGTTGCTGAGATCTAGCAGCATCTTCAGGAACCTAATTAATCTTTATGAATCAATGATAAATTTTATGTAGTTCATTGAGGAGCAACCTCTAAGACAAAACATATCTATAACTGAAATTATGAAGAACATGACTTAGTCTCTTTTCATTAAGGAGACATTTCCTAATCTTGTGATGACATAAAGCTACTACTATGACTATCAATTATCATTATACTACTGAAGTATAAAAGAGAGGCTGAATAGAATTCTTGGTTAATAAAATTAGTTTTCTATGAATGGATTCAGAAAAGTGAAGTGATAATATAATTTTTTTTAAAGAAAATGAATTTTTAAAAAATGTAATGGGCCCTGGATCTGTAATATTTTAATAGGAATTAGGAGAACATTGATCTATCTTTTCAGTTATACAAAGAGGACTCACTGTGTGGGTGAATCATTTCACCAATGTTTTTTTTTCCCAACTCCATATTTGCTCAGCTAAGATCCATTCTGTGAGGTGTCCTTCCCCTAGAGGAGATTTATTTCACCAGTATTGAGTCTGATTCTAATCAAACCAATCATAATTACTTTGTAAGCACTGTTTCCTCTTATTAGAGTTTTGTTTAATTACCAGAAAGCACCATGTTTGGAATGGCATTTGTTATGTGTGGTGGTAAGAGAAGGAAGGCTACTTAACATTACTACTCATCAATAGGTCACGAACTATATGGTGAATTGTGTCTTGCTGGCAAATGGAAAGGCTATTAGGGACAACTTAGAAAAATGTACATCTTACTGAATCTGAGTTCCAAATAGGGATCTGCTCTCTTATTTTCCAAGGATCCACTTTAAATCCTAACATTTCACATCTGGGACATCCTCATTATATGAGTCCCAACTATGGAAGAATAAGAATTGAATGGTCTGGTAGAAACAATTCTGTCTAGATTTTACATTTCTATCACATAATTTAGGTAATGTTATACCCTTTCACAACTTTTTTTTGTCTTCCCTGAGCCTTGATTTTTTTTATCTGCAAATATGAGAATACATTTTTGCGGTTATTAAGATTAATAAATGGGCTGGGAAGGTGGCTCAGTGGTAGAGTGCTAGCCTTGCATGCTTGAGGCCCTGGGTTCGATTCCTCAACACTACATAAGCAGAAAAAAAGCCGGAAGTGGTGCTGTGGCTCCAGTGGTAGAGCGCTAGCCTTGAGCTGAAGAGCTGAGGGACAGTGCCCAGGCCCAGAGTTCAGGCCCCACGACTGGACCCCCCTCCCCAAAAAAAGATTAATATGTGAGAAAACACCAGGTACCAGAACACACACAAAAATGTTGTTTTTATTAGGCTGTGTTTAATTATCTGATTTCGTGAAAATATTTTTTCTTGAAATAGAAAATTTTGTCTAATAATAAAAATATTGTTATGAATAACTAATATCCTCAAATATTACTGTGACAATAAGTATGTTATAATAGGAAGGGATTATTCTGAAAAGGCAAGAAATAATTTCTATAATGATACCTACTTGTTTTGTATTAATCCTATTGCTTGTTAACTTTTCTTTTTACAATTATACCTTTTTTTCTTTTTCTTTTGTCAGTTGTGGGGCTTGAACTCATGGCCTGGCCACTGTCCCTGAGCTTTTTCTACTCAGGGCTATCACTCTGCCACTTTGAGCTACAGCTCCACTTCTGGCTTTCTGGTGCTTAATTGTAGATAGACTTCCCTGCCTTGGATAGCACTGAACCATGATCCTTAGATCTGAGACTCCTGAGTAGATAGGATTATAGGCACAAGCCACCAGTGCTAGGCTCATACATGTTTTTGGAGAAAAACAGAAGTCATGGTGATCCATCTCTTGGGCTTTACCAAGAATCATTACACACTCCAATATCAGTAATATTTTCAGGAACAACTTTTATAGCATACCTCCATCTCCCTAAATAAGTGGAATGCCTATAAAGTTGACCTTAAGCTGAGATAGCAAAGACCCAGGCATATCTAGCCCACCAATTTCAGCCAACAGAAAAGTTATTGTAGGGCCTTTAGCGCTATGATCCTAATACTCCATTTTTATACATTTTATCATAAAGGTGGTGTACAGAGGGGTTACAGTTACATAAGTCAGGTAATGAGTACATTTCTTTTCCAACAGGTTAGCTCTTCCCTCATTTCTCCCAGTTTTTTTTTTCCCTTCCGACCTCCACAAGTTGTATAGTTCATCTCCAACATAGTGTCTAGTGAGTATCACTGCTGCATTCTAACACTTCATGTGAAAGCCAGAAAACATTTTTTACAGGATTAGTCAATGCAAGTTAACTTCAACACAGACTGACCAGGGCATCTGGTCTTTCTTGAATGTAGAATGTAAGATGATGGCCAGCAACAATGGCTAGGGTCAGTGGAGAGAAATTTTTTAACTAATGGTACATACATCCGCTTCGTCTGTGTTTGCACAGCCTGTGGATCATTGAATAAGTGTAATTAAATGTAACTTCCAAACAACTGTCTATACCAAATCACCCCAAAATACTATCTGATTACCATATCAAAATCACAGATGACATGGAGTATAAGTTTAGCCCTTCAGATGCCCTCTACTGAAGTGCTATGAAGCCAGCATTTCACACAAGAGAATTTGGGAAACACTGGAATGTGTGCTTCTAGTTCATTTGTAGAGTCAGTGTGGAGTCTGTTATTAGGCTCTGGCTCTGGGAAACCCAGATTGTCTCTCTTTTGCTCTGTGCTGTAGTTTTATCTCTTAGGCACGTGGGAGAGGGTAGGGAAGCCTGCCCTGGAGGTCAAGAGTCTTGCGGGGGCGGGGGGAGGATGGTGTGTCTAAAGTCTCTGAGCTCTGTGACCTGAAGCAATTCACTTGGCTTTCTTGGATCTTGATGTTTTCATATGCCAGATATAAAAAAGCTGAACAAGGTCCTTTTTAGCTATAAAGTTCAATGGTGCGATGTAAATGGCACCATTTCAGAGACGTCATAGGACCAGTCTCATAAAGTGAAATGCTCCAATTTTGACTCTCTATTATTTAATTTCCTAGAAGAAAAGGCAATCTCAAGAACTATACAAAAATGGATACTTTCTAGTTCACTCCCAGTGTTAACAAAGGAGGTCCTTTTGTTGTCTTTCCAGACCCCTCTACAGTTCATGGATTTGGGGCTGTCTTAAAGAACTGCAGTGCTTTACAGTGGACCAGTCAGGAATCCCCAGCAGCACAGACATAGCTGACATAATTACAAAGTTTTTCCTAATAAGTCTGAGAGATGTGACTCCAATAATTCCTTCCCTCATCAAACAAAAACCCAGGCAGGAGGAGACTTAAACTTAGCTCTCCCTCATAAATGAAGCATCTTGGCCCAGTATTTCCACCTCTGACCATCAAGTCCAGCCCAGTAATTCTGGCTTCTAAAACTGCCTATAAATAAATGATGGCTCAGCTTTGAAGGACTGTCTGAATATTTCTGAATTCATGTAGGGAGGGCATAACAGCTGTGTTTTGCATCTTTCACTCTAGAAACATGTATTAAGTAATGTCTATTTTAGATATGAAGCCAACATGAACAGGACACAGATCTTGGGAAGACTCGGTTCCTGAAATTTTTGTTTCTACCTAACCACAGACATTCCATTTCCGGCCCTGGCCTCACCCCAAGGAGGAAGGAAGCAACCAAGTGAACATTCAGACTCACCTGCTCCCTGATGTCTTCCCACCAGCACATCTGCTCCTACCATGCAGCCCATTCCCAGGATGCAGACAACGATGCCGATGAAATGCACAGCCTTGTACCGGATCAGCAGGAAGAACCAGGAGAGCAAAATCACCACTGGAATCACAAAACAATCCAGGAGCTATTGGGAGGAGGAAGGTAAAAACAACAGGAGGTCAGGAGATGCTTTCCATGATACCAAGAAAAGTAATTTGGATGAGTCAAATACAGTTAAGTCAGGTAAGTCAGGATAACCAGGAAACAGCAGTGAGGAATTCACAGACAAATCCTGAATTCATGAATAACTTGTTCAAAAGCACATAATCACTTGTTTCTTTGCTTTAAGCCTTATAGTGCCTCAATAAGGCAACATTTAGGACAATGGTGATGATGATGATGAAGAAAAAGAGGAGGAGGAGGAGGAAGAAGGAGAAGGAGAAGAGAGGAAGAATAAGGAGGAAGAGGAGGAGAAGGAGAAGAGAAGAAGAAGGAGGAGAAGAAGAGGAAGAGGAGAAGAGGAAGATGAGAAATGTATGGAGAACAGTTCTTTCTCTCTAACCTTGTCTGCTTACTCAAATAATTACTGAACTCTGGGAACAAGAACACACTAAAAGAAAGATTTATGTTAGGAATTAAACATTCAGAAAAAAATAACTGCTTTGAGCACAAAAATGTTTACAAAAGAAAAGAAGGAAAAAGAAGATCTATCTCAAGGACAGACACCTGTCTTGAAGGGAGCAATTCCTTTTCTTAAAAGGATGTACAGACATCTATGTCATAATGGCCGGGCCAGCTTTGATCTCTATGGGCCCAATTGATAAAGCAATGTAACAGTAAAAAATGATTGAGTGAACCAGGTGTCGTAAACAAAGGGAAGCCCTTACTCTAAGAAGAATTTGAGCAAAACCTCCAACCTACTTTTTCATCACAAACACCCTTGACATTAGAGCATTCACTGGGCCTGTTACCAGACATGCCTGCGTCCTGTCTGGGCTATTTATTATCCTTTTTTCTTTTCTTTTTTGGTAATACACATTTTTGGTCTCTAATGTATCTTAAAATTCGTTTTTTTTTGTAACCTTACAAACCAAGTAGTCATATACTAAAGGGATATCCCTTCTTTTGGAGGCCTCCTCCCTGGAGCCAGCTTGCTTCTAGTAACCCGTTGGGCTAGAGAGGAAAAGGAGATGACAATTGATATGACAGGCAAATGGTGAAGATTCTCCTGCCTGCTTTGTGTTCCTGGCAGTTGGGCTTCTTGGGGCTCTGGCAGGCTCCCAGGGAACACCTGAGGACTGAGGAGCACCCCTGGGGCCACTTTTGATGACACATTATTTTAGAAATAGTTCCTGGAATGAGGGGTGAGGGATCAGGCATCTTAGAACAGTTTATCAATTACTAGAAGTTAGACAAAGGTTAAACTTTGTTTTTCCCAATTGTTTCCCTCCTATCAATAAGAGTTACTCAATCTGCTCCTGTCATTTACTCTTAAAAGAAAACAAGCAGGGATGGGTAATAGTGTTTAAAAACAAATGTACTCTTTACCTTTCCTATGCAACTATAACTTCCCTGCACATCACCTTTTCAATAAAGATTTAAAAAGAAAAGAGTATCAAGCCAGGTGCTGGTAGCTCATGCCTGTAATCCTAGCTACTTAGGAGATTGAGATCTGAGGATTACGGTTCAAAGTCAGCCCGGGAAGGAAAATTGTGAGACTTTTATCTCCAATTAATCATAGAAAAAGCTAGAATTGGCACTGTGGCTCAAGTGGTACAGCACTAGCCTTGAACAAAAGGAGCCCAGGGATGGTGCTCAGGCACAGATCTCATGCCCCAGGACCAGCAGAAAAACAAAAAAATAAGAAAACAGAATCACTGTAGTGAATCAATTGTAGTGTTAATATTTTAAAAAATAATTCAAATAATGATATTTTAAAAAGGATATTTCATAAGATTGACCGAGAATAGAAAAAAAAGCAACTCTGATTTCATTTTTATATACTTGGCATAACCATGAGATTTCATCTGACATAAGGTCCCGAGAGTTGGTGCCGTTGACTTTACTCAGGTAGAGAAAGAATGTGGTGAAATGGAGAGAACTCTGTGCTAGAAGCCAGAAAACCTGAATTGCAGTACAAAGCCTTACTTGCTGCTGCATGACCTTAGACTCTCACCAACACAGGAAGCTCTCTTTCCTGGTAGGATGAAGACTGTCTCAACACCTGTCTCCACTGATCAGAGAGGAATTCAGAAATACTACACATGCCAGTAATTTTTTTTTTTTGGAGGGGGTTCGGTCGTGGGCCTGAATTCTGGGCCTGGTCGCTGTCCCTCAGCTCTTCAGCTCAAGGCTAGCGCTCTACCACTTGAGCCACAGCACAACTTCCAGCTTTTTTCTTTTTGTTTATGTGGTGCTGAGGAAACGAACCCAGGGCCTCATGCATGCAAGGCAAGCACTCTACCACTGAGCCACCCTTCCAGCCCCATGCCAGTAATTTTTAACCAGGTGTGGTGGTGCATTCCTATAGAACTAGCACTCAGGAAGAAAGTAGAAGTAAGAGGATCGAGAGTTTAAAGTGAAGTGGGGCTACATAGCCAAGTCTCAGGAAAGTATAAAAAAGAGTAAAGGAGCATTTTGTGAAGGATTTGACCCTCAGATCCTGTCTGCAAATCTGGCTTCCAGCCTGTTCTTTGGGCACCATGGAACTGGCCCAGTCTTTACTGCTCTGGTAGTATTTCCCAAGGCAGAGTCTCTACTTGACAAACTGATGTCCCGCAAGACTACAGACTCTGTGTACCAAATGGGAAACGTGCTTTATCCCACTGGCCCGCAGAACTGCTTGCTAGTATCCCAGGCACGAGGCCTTCACCACGCCGCAGCCAGCACTGGACAGTGGCTGTCACCGCCTATATCCTGTGATGACACAGTTCCATCACTTGCAGTTTCTAAGCATCTGTCATATGTCATCATGCCACCCAGACTGATCTACCACCCTCTCCTACCTGGAACAAGCCCTCTGGGATTACCTCAAGGCCTTCACTCCTCTATCTCCCTCCTTCTGCCATGCATTAATGTGTTACCTCAAGAAAACCTTTTGAGCCATGAGGCTAGTGCCTCATGCCTTCAATCTTAGCTACTCAGAAGGCTTATATCCAAGGATTGCAGCTTGCAGCCAGGCCGGGGCAGGGGAGGGAGGGGGAAGGAAGGAATACAGTGCACAAGACTTTTATCTCCAATTAACTACCAAAAAGCCAGAAATGAAGGTGTGGCTCAACTGGTAGAGCATTAGCCTTGAGCAAAAATACTCATGATAGTGATCAGGCCCTGAATTCAAGCTCCATAAATGGCATAAGAAAGAAGAAAGGAAGGAGGGAAGGAGGGAAGGAGGAAAGGAAGAAAGGAAGGAAGGAAGGAAGGAAGGAAGGAAGGAAGGAAGGAAGGAAGGAAGGAAGGAAGGAAGGAAGGAAGGAAGGAAGGAAGGAAACAAGCAAGCAAGCAAGCAAGCCAGCCTGGCTCTTGAATCCACAAATGAGTTCAGGTTCTGCTTGACAATTTTCTTGTACCCTACTTTCCTTCCTATTGACAAATTGTGAGATTTTTAATGACCAAAACTGGTCAAAATGAGTATCCAAAAATCCATGAAAGGCTGACCTAAGTTTGGATATTCACAAAGTATCTTCAAATGTCAGAGGGCCTCTTGGTAGCTTAAACAGCACTGAAAAATCCTCTGCATCACCGTAACTCTTCGTGATCCAAGCGAACCCTCATGCACCTCAGTGCACTGGTGTTCTCCCTTGCAAAGTGCAATATGAATTCAGATTAGGCAGGTGTCCCCAGGGTTGCTGGGAGGTTGAGAGGGTCACAGAGAGGATGCACCATTGATTATCCAGTAGTACTGGGAGGGTAAGGGATAGGGTCAGGAGTAAGCCATTCCTGGGGAGACTGTGCAGGGTGTGGCAGCCAGTAGGCTCATACAGCAGCCCACCTTTACTCTCTGCACAGTAATTAGCAATGTAAGTTAATGAGCCTGCTGGATGGGGCAATATATGCTAGGCAGCTTTTACAACTGACCTCAGATACCACCACTGAAAGCATATTAGGAAATCTCAGCTTGCCAGTGGAGACTGCTCACTGGGCATAAAACAGTTGGTGTGTTTTGTTTTTTAGAATTAAAAGTGATCGAACTGAGTTGAAGAATTCCATTAAATGGTCCACAACAGATTCCACTTACTGGCAGTAGCTCTCCAGCAGTGATGCTGCGGCCTCCATTCTTGAATGAGTGAGGGCAAACCTGAGCATTGTCCAGCCTTCGAAGGGGTTGACTTGAATGTCCTCTCTTAAGTGTCATTAGAAATCCCAGAGCACCTCATCAGTCCTAGGTTGTATTTCTTTATTCAGTTAATTATTAGGTTTATCCATCTCTTTATTAGGTTATTTAGACAATCCTTACTTGTAAGTAATGGGGGGGGGATGTCAGGTGGGTAGGGGGAGACATTTAGAAGAAGAGAAAGAATAGAAGAATACAACCAAGACAGGGTTTCTGGGATCTTTGGATGAGAGTTCAGTATATAGTAGGCTTGTAATATTTCGTCAGTAGATGTACTGATGCATGGGCAGACACATGCTGTCACTGGCTGTAAGAAGGGACACGGAAGGTAATGGAGGTTGTTTCTAGAACTTGGAGCAGGGCACTTCTTCATTTTGCAGGAAATGCTCTGTGCTCTTTGCAGGGAAGTGAGCACTGGTGCCTTGACAGTGAAGACATTTAGAAATGCCTGTGGAGGGCAATACCTCCTCAGTTTAGAATCACTGAGATCCCTTTCTTTCATATTTGAAACTCACAAGTCTCAAGTAATGGGCCCAGGGTTATACAGACTTTTGGCATCTGCAGCTGTTATTCATAATTTTTTCTTTTTTATTTAAGACTGGGATTCCAACTCAGGGTCTTGTGCTCTCAAGGCAGGCACTCTACCAGTGAGCTACACACTCCAGCCCTCCTCTTCCTCCTCCTCCTCCCTTCCTCTCCTCCTCCTCCTTTTTTTGCACTGGTTATTTTTAAGATACGGTCCCAGTCATGAGCATGGAGTGTGACTTGCCTATTCTATACTTTCTATTGTAGTAGTTGTGATCACAAGAGCATGC